AACTCCCAAGAACAACGGACTCAGCTCCTCTTTGTCCAATTCTTCTTCTTCTTTTCACTCTCATCAGAGGTTCTCAGTTCCACAGTGGACCTTCTGCTCCTCCATTTTGTACCCCCCCCCCATCATCTCCGTTGAAACCTCAGAGGTGGTCCTGGCGCAGCTGTTTTTGTGACATCCTTCCTCTGGGACGGCAGGGAGGGAGAAAGGTCATAAATACGTTGCCTTTGTTGTTTTTCCCTGTCAGACTAAGCTACAGTCGCTGATGAAATAATTCTTCAACTTTGCTTCCTTTAGCACTGCCTCACTTCAAGGGCGTGTCCCCAGAGCCTCAGAACACCATTCCCACAATGCCTGCTGCGGTCACGGATGCCTTCCTACTTCCAGTCTCCTCCAGCCTCCTCTTCCCCTAACTTCGGACGGAGGCCAGCAGCTACAGGTGGCACTACTGGTGTCCTGGCCCAGCCGAGGGAGCAGCGGGGGCAGAGGTCCAGCCTGCCCTCCCTCTCCAGCCCGTGCTCACTGTCCTAGGCTACGAGGCCTAACAAAGAACACTTCTTACCTCCCCTGAGTCCTGAAAAGTTTTGAGAGAAAGTCAATAAATTCAGGGAGATGGAGAACAGAATATTCATGACAGATAAACATAGGTTGAGAGACAGCATTCGGTATGAGCCTACAGTGGGTTTTCTAGTTCCGGTTCTCAAAGTTAAACAGAGGTCCAAGCTAGTCACAGAGGTTGCTGGACTCTCAGTGGAGGGTTCTGTGCAGAAAACCAGGGCAGAAAGAATAGACCAGGACGTGCACTTCCTTTGGAGAGCTCGCACCCACAGCAGGGGACCGGAGGGCAGCCCCTCCCCCTGACCCGCCAGCAGGCCCTGGCACGGACCAGATGTGCCGGCCACCTCTTCTGAGCCACTTCGAATTCCGCCGCCCCGCCTGCTAATCTAGCTGCTGGCGAGACAGCCAGTTCTGCACACGCTCTAAATGATGTGCATTTCGACTCGACAGCACCTGCCCTCACGTCTTGCTTCTGGCTCCAGAGCTGTTCTGATGCCTTGGTGTGGGCTCTGCACGCTTGACACACTCACACGTGCACCTGAGTGAATACCTGTGGTCATCCTTGCCCAGTGGGGTGAACGCCCACGAACACAGGCTTCCCTCCTTCTTCCTCTGGGAGGACAGTTCTAAGATACACGTTACAAAGATCTTCCGAAGGTCCGCCGGATCGGGTGCCAGTGGCCAGCGTAGAACCACCATTGCGTAGCTTCCCCTGTTTCTCTGCCTCACTTCTCTTTTTCTTCCACTTCTGTTTCCTGAGACAATTTCCCAAATCAGTTACACTCACGCAAGACTTTGTCTAAGGCTAAAGCCGGGCGGGGGGAGTGAGTGAGAGAGGAGAGGCACAGTGTCACGGTGATGGCCCTCCACCTGGGGAGACTGCAGCCTCCCCTCTGCCAGGAAACACAGCCGGAGTACAACACAGACCAAGGATGGCAAGGCCTCCTTTGATCAGCCCGATGTTAGATAGCAGGAAACCTAAGAGAACCAGTCCTTTCTAGAATTGTTACTGGGTCTCAAGGGAGGTGAAAACAAGATGAAGAGGTGGGGGACTGGGCCTCAGCACGGACCTGAGCCCCCCCAGCTGGAATCGGCTCCCGGCACAAACGCTTGCTCTGAGCAGAGAGATGGACAGGTTCCTTTTAGGTCTGTGGTTGGTCGTATACAACTCTCTTTATGAGAACTTTATGGGCACAGTGGCCATTGGGGCCATCATTTTACACCTAACTTTGCAGTTCCGGTGTCTAGCAGAATGGTTTACTGTGGTTCCCAGGAGGGCACGTTGCGCACCGAGGACGAAGAGACAGATCACTGACCACGAAGGACTTCTCACAGCCTGAGCACAGCGCGCTCCGCCTTCATAGCTTACTCCGGGGCAGTGGAACCAACCCGGGAGGCCGGGCTGCGCGTCACATGGGCAGGAATGGTCTTCAGGGAGCTAGGCTTAGCCCAGAGAGCTGATTCTGGGTACTGTGCGCTGCAAAACTTTTGTTTGTTTTTTCTCAAGCTTTCATCCCTATCCCTAATCTATAATCTTTTTTACACAGTCCTGAATCACACGTCTGAACTTACTTTAGGTAGGGGTTGGCTGATTGCTTCTACCAAGCTTTTAAACCGAAACCACAGAATAACTCCTGCTGGAGTTCATTCTTCTGTTCCTTTTATGGGGCCAGAATTCCCAGCCAGCAGACTGCAGAAGCACCCCGTAAAAACGTGTGCTCCGTGCAGGCGGGCCCAGAAGATCTTGGGACGAATGTGCCTCAACCAGGACGCGCCCACCATGGCCGGAATCCCTCCTACTGAGTCGCTCTGTGCCATACACAGCGGCACAGGTGGGCCCCTGAATTTGGATTATGGCGCTGCCAACTTGAATGTGTTCAGGTTACTCTTTTTAGACAGCCAGCTTATTTTCTTGAATAGACTTTAGGCTCGTCAATGTTTCCCCTTTAGCAGAGCAGAAAAAGTTGAAGAACTGGGTGCTTCTCCAGAAAACACTGGCCCTCCTGAGAGTCGAGGGGTTCAGATTTCTGGTGACATTTAGAGAGACTCCCTCTCAGGGCTGAACTCACCGCCCAGCAGGTGTAGAGCTGAATCACTCAGGACACAAATGGAAAGGGAGGGGCACAAAGCGAAGGCTTTGTATTTTCTCCCCAGGGACGCAGCTCCAACTTCACCTACCCAACTGCTCCTCCTGAGAGCGACAAAGGTGAAGAGAAGAATCTCTGCCGTTTCAGCTGTGCTTATTGTCAGCGGGACAGGTAGGAGCAGTACAGTTCGGAATGTGGACAGGAGAGTAGCGAGGCAAGCAGGGCAGTGTGTTCTTTAATCCAGGGTGGCCTTTGCTGGCACCTTGCTATACCTGCACGTCCTAGCACGGACTGGATTAACATTCTTCCTTCATTTCCTTCCTCCACAGATGTTTCGTGAGTGGCTAGCTAGGGCTGCTCTAGATGACAAAATAAAACATAAAAAACAAAGTCCTTGCTTTAATGGAGGTTGTACTCTAGAGGGAGGGGGGAATCAGACAATAAATATATGTGTAGTATAGAACATACTCCACTCTCTATATATGTATATACATAGTTTATTCATACTTATAAAATACATGTATATATAATATATAAGGCAAAAATAAGTACAATATGTATATATAATATATAGGGCAAATAAGTAAATTTACTTATATTTATATAAAAATGTATATATATAATATATATAAACTAGGGTAAAGAAATGAATAACTGGAGGGATATGGTCAGCGAAAGCTTTACTGATGAGATGTTATCTGAGCAGAGAGAGAAATAAACTGCTGGAGTGAGCCATTTGGATATCTTTGGGAAGAGCATCATAAAGGAGGAATAGAACGTGCAAAGGCCCTGAGGTGGAATCTGCTTGCCATGTTGAAGGCATGTAGGGAGGTAGCATGACTGGAACAGAGGGAGCTGGTGGGAGACGGTAGGAGATGAGACTGAGAGGTGGCAGGGCCAGATCATGAAGGACCTTGATCACAGAAAGGAGTCTGACCCCTGCTCTGAGAGAAAGGGAAGCCACTCAAGTGTTTGAGCAGACGCCATAAGCAGGAAAATGAGTTAGAAGACGATTTTAGTAATCCGTGAGTGGGATGATGATAGCTTTGACCAGGGTGGGAATTGGAGAGGGTGAAACATGGGTAGATAGAGAAACAGAGAAAACAGGATTTTTTGGATAGATGGAATGTGATATGAATGAGAAAGTGTTTAAGGATGACCCCACAGTTTTGTCCTGAGCAAATGAAGGAATGGAACTGCCACCTACAAAGGTCTAGGTGGTGCTAGGAGAGCAGGCTGCAGAGAGGTTCAGGAAGCCAAGAGTCTCTTTTTGGACATGTTAAATTTGAGATACACATTAGACACTCAAGTAGAGGTGTTGAGCAGACAGTTAGATACACGAATCTGGAATTCAGGGCCAATATAAATTTGGGGGCCAACAGCATATCAGTGACACATAAAGCTTGAAATTAGATGAGATCACTTGTCCGAGTGTGAACAGAGAAGGGGTCCAAGATTTAAGGCCCTTCAAATGAGACTGAGAAGGAGTGGCCCAGTGAGACAGGTGATAAACCAGGAAAGAATGATGACCTAGAAGTTAAAGGAAGAAAGTGTTGGATGGGGATGGAGCCTCCTGGAGAATGATACGTCCTTGAGTCCAAGAACTGTGCTTGACAAGTTTTGTATCTATCTACAGCTTCTTATAGTTAGGGGTTCCCCATAAGAGTTTGTGGGACTGAATGAAACAAACCCTGCCTGACAAACCAGTGTCCTTAGATAACACGTACTCCAGCATTGTGTTAGTCTCTCTCAGACTTTCTTCTTCTGGTCTTCCATCGTCATTGATCTCATGGCTGCGCCGAGGGCTGAGGGCTTTGGGTGCCTTCTCATGGCATGGCCTATTTGCTAGTAAGGCCTTGCTTCCATGGAGGGGTTAGGACATGAGCAGAGAAGGTTGCCTGAGTTTGCTTTGTTGATTCTCACCTTGTTTGTTCATGAATGACCAGGATGGAAGTGTTCTCTCCTTGTGATGGTGGACAGTCTAGTGGGAAAGTATCTCATTTAGCTGATAGTTTCTTGTGTAGCTCAAGCATTTTTCTGTACAAGTTCCAGAATGAGGAGTGATATGAAACATAAAAACTCGGAGCACAAAGATCTAATTCCTTCTGCTCTTTGCTCCAGAAGAATGGCAGATCCCTTTTAAATCTACACAAATGATAGCTTTGAAGTATTGGTTGAAAGGGATGGTAAATCTTCTATTCATTAGAATCTAAAATGTGAATTCCCCTCTCTAGTATTTTGTAATTTCTACTGCAGTGTGCTCAGGCTCTTTAATTCATGAAACGGAATAACTGAACTCCGTGTATTATCTGTTCCTCCAAGTAATATTCTGAGCTGTTTTTCCTTCGGTTTGCAGGTAGTGTTGGGCAGAAAATGGATTCCCTCAGCACAGCAAATGTTGAATTTTGCCTTGATATGTTCAAAGAGCTGAGCAATAATACTGTGGGAGATAACATCTTCTTTTCCCCGCTGAGTCTGCTTTATGCTCTGAGCATGATCCTCCTTGGGGCCAGAGGAAACACTGCAGAACAGATGGAGAAGGTATGGCCTGCTCTCAAGATGTCCCCAAAGCATGGAATCTTACCTGCGCCCCCTAGGGGTCAGCCAAATTACTCACATCTTTACATCAAGAAAACTCTGCCATCTTGTTAAAATAACATATTTGGACAAATCATATTTCTTAAAAGTGGATCATGGCTTAAATAATGTAATACATTATAATTAAAATAGCACACAATACATGTAGCACAGTCTCTTCCTTACCATAGGTGGTTTCATGCATACATTTCCACAATTACTTTTAGAGTTCATCCGTTCATGATTTAAACATAACAGAGAGCACATGTGGTGCTATTTTTGCCCTCTAGAAGTTTAATTTATAATAAAATGTAATGACACTTTAAGAGCTATCAATTGTCTTTGCCTGTCCTGTGTGACTCAGTGGTTGAGCGTCAACCCATGTACCAAGAGGACGCCGATTTGATTCCCGGTCCGGGGCACATGCCCAGGTTGTGGGCCAAATCCCCAGTGGGGAGGATGCAGGAGGTGGCCAATCAGTGTTCTCTCTCATCAATGTTTCTATCTCTCTCTCTGTCTCCCTCTCTCTCTAAAATCAATAAAGAAAAAAAAGTTATCAAATTTAAAAAAATATTCATTAGTGCATTTGAATGTCATAACAACTGTGTGTAGCAAGTAGCTATTGTTACCCCTATTTCAGAGCTGGGGAGGCTGAGACTGAGAGAGAAAGGATGACTGTTCAGGTATCAGGCCGAGACTGACTTCAGGTTACATAGGCTGACATTCAGTGGTTTTCCATATGCATAGATTTTATTGGTGTGGAAAGCCTAGAAGAATGTCACTTACCTTCTAGGATACTTGCACATCCTATTTCTATCTGTTCTTTACTCCATATTTTGATGCACTTTCATGATTTTTTTTTTTTTTTGCATTGAAAATAGGTTTTGTGCTGGGAACCCACATCATGCTTTACGTGGGCTTGGATGGGCTCTGTCACAGTGAGTGGCCTGAGAAAGGTGGGAGAGGAGAGAAGAGTCTAGTGTGTGACAGCTCAGTCCCTGGAGCCTCACAGACAATGGTCCTGGCCACATCACTTAATCTCTCTTTGGCTCAATTACCCTGACAAAAATGGGGATAATAGTATCTACTCTCAAGGTTGTTGGGAGAGTCGAGTAAGCTATGTAAAGACTTAGCGCAGGGCTTGGCATACAACATGATTCAGTGTCAGCTATCACCTTGGTCTTTATCTGAAATGGAGAAACAGGTCCTGGTAACTGTTAACCTTTTGGTGCCAATTGATCCTTCTTTCTTTTTCTAGGTGCTTCACTTTAATCATGTTGCAGAGTTGCTGCAGCCGGAGTTTAAGGACTCAGCTGAGGTATGATGACATTACTGCTGTGCTGTCAAGCGCTCGTTGTACGAGCACCAAGAGATAATGGTGCAGGCGTTGAGTAGCAGAGCCCCATCTTGCTCCTTAAGGAGCTCACAATGTCCTCCTCGGTCTCCTCTTCAATCTTTCTGATAATTGCTATGGCCTATAGAGTTAGCATAATGATGGTGACAGCAATAATCAGTCCCCAGATTTCATCATACGACTTACTGTCATCCTGACCAAACTTTTCTGTCTTTTACAAACTGTGTGCCACGTTGAGCCTGCCAACCTCTTTCGTGCAGTGCTGCGTTTCAGACCAGCGAGGGGACTGCAAAAGGACCCTGAAGCTTAGCCACGTAATTACTCGCTGGGAAAACAGGGCTTGACCCTGCCCTGTCCACCCGTTCTTCCTTCCTTCCGGTTGGGGTGTCCCTTTTGACGTGGAATTTACACAAACTCCCCCATGACAACACTTGTGTGTTTGTGACTGACTGAGAATAATACATACATGTGTATAGATTCACAGAACACTTGCTTCACAGAACCCAATTTACTGTTAGGAAATGAAAGCTGATGGTTTGGGAATCTTTGCTTTAGGGAATATAGGCACAATCCCTCTAATGTCCATGGATTCGATGCATCAAAGCTGTGTGCTTAACCAGGTGTCTCCGGTGAGGGACAGATGGGTGAGGAGGTCAGTTCAGCGAGGAGCCGAAGAGTTTGATGAAATGGTCACAGAAAAGGGAGAACATGAAAGGAGTGTGAGAGAGAAGAGACATGATTCTATAGGTACCAAGTTAGAAAAAACACCCCAAACCAAAGAAACAAAACAAAACACAAAAACCACCCTTGGCCTATCGCCCTGAATACCCGATTAGGATCTCTTTATTTATGGTAACTCCCACTTTTGAACGAAAACGTCGGGGCTGCAAGTGTGTGTGTGTGTTTACACTAGCGTCCAGTTCTGCACACAGCCTGTAACCAGAGTCCCAGAGTGCTCAGCTCACTGCGCCGGAGGAAATCAGAGAAGGAAAACGCTTTCAACTCTTCAGCTCTTTGTTGTTTTCACGTTATTTATGACTCTCCGATGGCAAGAAATCAAGCAGTTTAATACCCTGTTCTTTGTTGACTGTGCTTTAGTGCAGCCAAACTGGAAGGGTTCACTCAGCGTTGGGAGCCCTGTTCCGTCAAATCAACCAGCCAGACTCCACCTCCACCCTCAGCGCTGCCAACAGACTCTACGGGACACAGGCCATCGCGTTCCATCAGGTCAGTCTGCCCGCTATGGTGGCCAGCAGCTTTCTCAGCATCCTCTGAATTTCACACCCTAAGATAAATCAAGAATGAGTAGACTTACATGACATTTATCTTTAAGAGATTAAATCTGAGCCGAGTTAGAGTTTCAGTGAAATGGTTCCACCGAATCCCCATATAAGGTTATGAAACACCACATAAAAACTTGACTTCCACAAAATCACCAGAGTTGTCCAAGAACCAAGGTCAGGGATGAAGCATGCGCGCGCACACACACACACACACACACACACACACACACACCAGCAGATAAGAATGATCTCTTATGGACAAGAAGAAAAACAAAATCCACCTCTCATCTCTTCGTCAAAGGTCCTAAATGGCAGAGTATCGAGAATTAGCAGAAAGTCTACTGGACTGGGGGCCGAGCGCCCTGAGTTCTGTTCTCATTTAGACATACGACTTTGGGCAAGTCACCGCTATCTTTACACTGAGATGATTAGACCAAGGTTTTGTTTTTGTTTTTTGTCTTTGGCTACAAAATTCTAACACTATTTATGCCATTTCCCAACAGCATTGGAATATGAGTTTTATTGTGTGTTTACTATGTGTCAATCACTCTACTCCATACATTACAAACATTATATAATCCTTATTTAGTCCTAATATATTGGTACAAAACTGTCATTAATTCCACAATTGTGAAGCAAATCACGAAACATCAAGTTGAGAAAGGTCACAGAGGTAATTCAGTGGCAAAGCCGGAATGGGTCCCGTCCAGATCCATGTTCCTGGTTTTCATTGCTATGCCACCCTGCTGTGCTTGGGGCAAAATGCCAGCCTCCGTGGCAGGGCTTGTGTCTGAGCAGCGGTGTTTAAAAGCCAGCTGAGTGAGGAAGGATGCAGCCTTGACTTCCTAATGTTCTTCAGCCTGGAGGTGTCTTAACACGTGGCAAGTTTTCAATTGTCAGAATTTTTGTAGCTTGGGGGAATCCACACGGGTACTGCAGATATTTCAGAGGGATTTCCTCCTGCTGCCCTAGAAGCCTATAGAAAATGTGTTATGGATAATGTTGGAAGTGGAGGGAATTAACAGTCATGATCCTTGGAGTTGGAACACTCCCTCGTCCCTTTGTCTCTCTCAAGCAGTGATCCGGATGTAACAGCAGATACATGCTGCTTTGGGATAATGTCTATCGCATCTGTTTCTGAAGTGAGACGCTCCCCCTCCGTATTATGAAGATTGTCATGACCTGTGTCATAGACATTAGTATTCAGACAGTCACTTAAGCATGTTCAAGCCACAATGGGACCCAGCTCAGGACAAGAATCACACCGAGGCCCCGATTTTGCTCTTAGTCAAGGTCTCCTTTGGTTTTACACTGGATTTAGGCACAAGAGAACCCAGTTAAGCAAATGGCAAGCCAAATGCCAGGCAGCCACGTACAAACCTGCCGTATTTCTAAGTCTTGTATCACCCTGGATGTTCCTGGCAGGGCACTGGGTCCTGCTGGACATAGAGGTATGTCCCCACGGCGTAAGAATGCATCCCAGCAGTTTTATCTGGAGCCGTGTAGATCAGCAGTGGGACATTCCCAGCTCAGGGAGTCAAGGGCCATGGGTGGGAATCAGCAGTGGCTCCAGCATGCTACATGGGGGCCAATTTGGGAGTGGACGTTTGGTTCAACGAGAGGGCTAGGTGTTGGTTTTCCTTCCATTATTTTTGTGTTCTTACGCAGCTGTCCTTTCTTTTACAGCAATATTTAAGTTGTTCAGAGAAATTCTATCAAGCCAGGCTGCAAGCTGTTGATTTTCAAAAGTCTACAGAAGAAACGAGGCAAACTATTAATGCATGGGTTGAAAGTAAAACTAACGGTAAGGATAAATCACATATGTGTCTCCAAACTCGACTCATGCTGTCCTGATAGACTCCCTGCGTCAGTGCTGAGGAGGGAGCTGGGTGAGGTCTAGAAGCTGACGTAGCTGATTGACGATGGAGGAAATGGGGTGTATTTTGGAATATCCCTTGTATCTGTTTGTCCTAAATGATCCAGCCAAGTAACTCTGAGCACGAGAAGAACGCGATTTCTATGTTACAGAGGTGTTGCCATACATTCTGCCACTAAATTTAATTAAGTTTAAATCTACCTTCCCCAATTTTAAAATAAACACTCTATATTGTTAAACATTTCCCTTTTTAAAAAATGTTCATACAAAAGATGTGTTCACTTATTTTTTAAAAAATCTAGTTAAGGAAAGATTTAAAGACAAAAGGAGAATAATAGAATGAATCTTTCTTTACCCATCACTCAGCTGCAATATTTATTACTTATGCCAATCTTATTTACTGTACACACACCTCTTTCAGGTTATTTTGGAGCCAATCCAATATATCATATCTTTTTTTCCCCTGTACATGTTTCAGTTTGTACATCTCAAAAATATAGGCTTTAAAAAAATATGACCACTACACCATTATGATACTTAGAAAATTAAAAAATTATTTAACATTAACAAATATTTAGTGAGTTTTTATATTCCCCCAATTGCCTCTTTTTTTGTTTGAATCAGAACCCAAATAATGTTTGTGTATGGCAATTGGCTAATTTGTTCCTTAAAGCTTGATTTTTGAAATAAACTTTTTGATTGAAATATATGTGCATTTAGAAAACTTTATACATGATATGTTTTCTGTTCAGTGAATGATCACAAAGACGAATACTCTGTTGTACCACCACCCAGGTCAGGAAAATAAAACATTAGCTACGGGAAGGGCATGCCAAGCCATCTTCATGTCTTCTCTCACCCCGTTCCCAGACCTTAAGAATTCTCTGACTTCCATTGCTATGTATTAGTTCTGCCTGTTTTAAAATTTCATCTGTTTGGAACCGATGATTGCTACTTAGGTCCATGATTTCATTAGGGATTCAAGGGTTGAGATTCCAATCTTGCATTCCTTCATTTATAAGCTGGACTATTTCTATAAGAGAAACTTCTCATAAAATATTTGGTTACCCTAAGTACAGTTCACATGAGAAAAACAAAACAAACAAAACAAAACGATGCTGGATTCTTTTCCTTCAATACAAGTTTTTAAAATAATGTCCCCATCCCACAGCATCCTCCAAAGTAGTCCATGAATTTTCTTTTTAAAGTATAATTATGAACTCATACGTTTAAATATCTTTGAGATGTTTCAATTTATCAAAGCTCAAATTATCCCCTTAATCAGAGACATATCTTCCTATGACTTCTGTGTCCTTTTGACACAGCCCCTATAGAATATGACAGCGTCCTTGCATTCTGAATTGACCAGATGTTCCAGGTTTATCTTGTTCATTTCCTGTCCCTGACCTACATTTACTCACTTCTCCAAGGAACCCTGGATTCTTTTAATGAGAAATGATAGTTAGAGACCATAATCTGGGTATGAGAGTGCTCATTGCTACTGGTTTGATCATTGTTTTTAGGACTTTTCAGTGGATATAACTATGAACTACATGTACTTAGATGAAACATATTTAGAAATTTTAATTTCTTACTAATGTTACTAGTTCAAATTCAGATTCACAGGTTTTTTTTACTTAACATCTCCCTTCGTTTTACATCTATTTCTCTTTTATCTCACATCAAAAATTCCAGTTTTCAATGCCACCAGTATTATTGCACAATGACCACATCCAACAATACACACAGTCTCAAAATAACAGTACTAGTAAAACAATCAGCAATAGTAGCTGAAGATATTTTTTGCATTTCTTTTTGTGCTTAGGACATAGTCCACTAGACATGTATAGTCAGTTACCACATTGAAATAATCTCTCTCTCTGAGGTCATGCCACCAACTCATTGTACCATTAGTTTCTAAAGTCTTGGAATATAGTTAATCATATTTCCTGATATGGAAGAGAATTGACTTTATTAATTAACAAATTTAACATGAAATAAAAACAGTGTTAAATTAGAGGTAATTGTATTTATGAAGAGCATGTTTGTAATATAAGTTACTAATAGAAGATAATTACTTCTCTGAGGATAAAGACTATATTTCTAACATATTTCTATCAATTTTATCACTTAATGGTGATGAGCTGTCATACATACCATATCAATTGATGGATGTTATTCAAATTCAGTAAGAGATGACCAGATTAAAATATGTATCTACTCAATTCTTTGTATTGGAAAGTTTAACACATATATTATCTGTTCCTTTTCTTATTACAAGGAAAAATTACAAACCTCTTTGGAAAAGGCATGATCGACCCTTCTTCCGTGATGGTCCTGGTGAGTGCCATCTATTTCAAAGGACAATGGCAAAGAAAATTTCAGGAAAGACAGACGATTAAAACCCCTTTCCACCTAAGTAAGGTATGTGTTTCATTTTCAGATCGATGATATGTTTTGGAGACTGCAATAATGGTTCAAGGACAGGTTAAACGTTTTAGTGAAAACAGTGGTCTAGATTTCCATAGATTCCTTTAATTGTGGATTCCGTGAATTTTATTTTCATTTTTCCCTACGAACTGAGAGTGATCTTTCTCACAGGGCACCTGGGTGGAGCTTGGGGTCACTGGGAGCCCTGCACGAGAAGCAAGCCTGTTCTTCTCTGACTTCTGTGTGTTCTTTCCATATATGCTCTGGTTATTTGCTCTAGTGGCCAACACAACTATCTACTGTTTTTCTCCTGAAAAGTCTCTCATTGAATTAAAAAAGGAATGATCCTATGATGTCATTTCTCCATATAGCTCACTTTATCTGGAAACTCTGGCTTTGTTTTTGGGAAATATACATTGTTTTTATTACTATATTCATTATTTGAACTATTTGGCTTTAACAAGGACTTAGTTTGAAATAAAAGAAAATCACAACCTCTGCGAAGGAAAGTAATAAGGGTGTATTTTATAGTTTATAGTTTACCCATGTGTTTAGAGTGTCAATGCAGATATTTCTTATGCAGGAAAATCAGTACCCACGCGTGGGCACATGGAACTAATCACAATCTTAAAAACACAGGGTAAGAGCGTGATTGTGGACATGATGTATCAAACGGGGACGTTTAAGTTGGCCATCATACAGGAGCCACAGATGCAAGTGCTGGAGCTGCCCTATGCGGGCGACAAGCTGAGCATGATCATCCTGCTCCCGGCGGGCTCAGCTGCTCTGGAGCAGGTAACTTTGCGTAATTTCCGCTCATAGAGAGAAAGCAGCGTGCACATGTGCGCACGCGCACCCCTTGCCCCACGGAATCCGCTCATAGAAAGAAGCGTGCACACGCGCGCACACGCACCCCTTGCCCCACGGAATCCGCTCACGGAGAGAAAGCGTGCACACACGCACCCCTCACCCCACGGAATCCACCTACAGGGAGAAAGCAGCGTGCACATGCGCACACATCCTCCTCCCCCCACGGAATCCGCTCACAGGGAGAAAGCAGCGTGCACATGCGCACACGCACCCCCCATCCGCTCATAGAAAGCAGCGTGCACATGCGCACACATCCTCCTCCCCCTACAGAATCCGCTCACCAAGAGAAAGCAGCGTGCACATGCGCAGATATCCCCCTCCCCCCATGAAATCCGCTCACAGAGAGAAAGCAGCGTGCACATGCGCACACATACCCTTCCCCCCACGGATTCCACTCACGGAAAGCAGCATGCACATGCGCACACGCACCCCCCATCCGCTCATAGAAAGCAGCGTGCACATGCGCACACATCCCCCTCCCCCCATGGATTCCACTCTCAGGGAGAAAGCAGCGTGCACATGCGCACACGCACCCCTCCCCCCATGGAATCCGCTCACAGAAAGCAGCATGCACATGCGCACACATCCTCCTCCCCCCCATGGAATCCGCTCACAGAGAGAAAGCAACGTGCACATGCGCACACATCCCCCTCCCCCACGGATTCCACTCACGGAGAGAAAGCAGCATGCACAGGCGCACACGCACCCCTCCCCCCATGGAATCCGCTCACAGAAAGCAGCGTGCACATGCGCACACATCCCCCCCCCCCCACGGAATCCACTCACAGGGAGAAAGCAGCATGCACATGCGCACACATCCTCCTCGCCCCCATGGAATCTGCTCACAGAGAGAAAGCAACGTGCACATGCGCACATATCCCCCTCCCCCACGGATTCCACTCACAGAGAGAAACAGCATGCACATGCGCACACGCACCCCCATCCGCTCATAGAAAGCAGCATGCACATGCGCACACGCACCCCTCCCCCCATGGAATCCGCTCACAGAGAGAAAGCTTGGTGCACATACGTGCACACGCGCCCCTCCCCCCACAATGTGTGTTCCATGATGTCAGCACAGCCAGGCCCTGATCCGATCGTGCCTTAGGTTTAGGGGCGCTGCCCCAGGGTCAATGAGAGGAAAGGGGGGGCTCCTGGTCCCTGCCTTCAGTATAATGTAATTAGGGAAAACAACCTATTTTTGTATTAAAAAAAGGCCCCTGGTGGCCAAAGGACCACACACACTGATCATTCCACACTTGGGAAACAGCTTTATAAGGAAAGTATAATGCTGGTCCGGCTCCCAGCCCGTGGCAATCGGTCCAAGCCGCCTTCCCCTGGGGAGCCGTCCTTCAGACCCATAAGTCACATGCTTCTGTGGGCCGACCACCATTTCAGCATCCTGGTTTTGTGGGGAAATGAGAGCCCAGCCAGGGGAAGAGGTAGGTGGGGGCGGGAGTGGGTCTGAGCCCCTCCCTGGCTGCCCACAGCTGCTCGGCTTGGCTGGGGCCTCCCAGTGTCTGCTAGCGTGGCGGTTGCTCAGCAGACCAGCCGAGCTTCTGGGCTCGGTGGCAGCTGACATGCACGTGGGTGTTGGAGCCACAGGGCAAAGAGCATGCGCCAAGGGCTTAGAAGTACCAGGCAGCGAGATGGCTTTCTGCCACGAAGTCGTGGTAACTCAGATCAGGACAGAAAAGGGCAAAAGGAGAAGGTAGGAAGCACTGATCTGATATTGTCAGGACAGTGAGAAGGCGACAGAAAGGCTTCAGCTCTTGTAGTAGAACGATGACGGGGTCAGACATGCCCGTGTGGGCTGTGGGGAGGGCTGCAGAGTTTCAAATGCCCAAAAACAGGAGTGTGAAGAGTTTCCAAAAATGTCTGGAACTGGGTGGAGAGGGAGAACTCAGGGCTGGGAGGCTGTGTTGGGAAATCTGAGCAGGGGTGTGGGAGTTGACTCTGCAGGTGGAGGCACGCAGAGTCAGCTTCAGGAGTGGGGACAGGAGGAGATGAAAGCAGAGTGGATCAGGGGGTCCCAGCCTCATAGAAGCCAAATGTGGGATAAGTTCCTAGCGGAGGTTGCTGTTAAATGTTTCAGATGTGAGAACCCAGAAGGAGTGGTTGAGTTCATTCAGGAAGTGAGACCACAATTGCAGAGCATTAGAGAGAGTTTAGGTAAAGCTCACACCCCGAGGGAATGAATTTAGGCAAAGATGGTAGGATGTTACATTGGACACAATTATAAAACACTGATGAGAAATAGATAATAGAAAACAGAACATGTGATGAATGCAAGATTTTTATTTTTATTTTTCAGATTAAAGGAGCACAGTGTAAAGGTAGAAAGGAAGTCAGTGAAATTGACTCACTCACAGTGAGAATGATGAAATGAATTAGCAGTTGATGCAGAAGCGTGTGCTTGGCTCTTGTAGGCCCATCTGTGTTTTGTCTCTTAGATAGAGAAGCAGCTGAACGTGAAGATGTTTTACACATGGACCAGCTCTTCCAACATGGTAGAAAGGGACGTCGAAGTCCACTTGCCCCGATTCAGACTGGAGATCAACTATGAGCTGAATTCCCTGCTAAAATCCCTTGGGATGACAGATGTCTTCAATCAGATCAAAGCTGATCTGTCTGGAATATCATCAGCCAAGGGCCTGTATTTATCAAAGGTCCTCCACAAGTCGTATGTGGATGTCAATGAAGAGGGCACCGTGGCAGCAGCGGCCACTGGGGACAACCTCGTCGTAAAAAGACTCCCCATCCGAACCCAGTTCATGGCAAACCACCCTTTCCTGTTCTTCATAAAGCACACGGGCACCAACACCATTCTGTTTTGTGGCAAGCTCGCCTCTCCCTAGGCAGCTGGGCTCAAGCAAGGCTCAGAGTCACAGAGGAGCTGCAGGGATTAAAGCCGTAACTCACACCTCTGTGCCTCGGTTTGCTCATCTGCGAAATGGGTCTAGGATCCCTCCCAACTTATTCCATGAGTTGGCGAACCCTAAGATAATGGTAACAGTAGAAGGAGGAAAATTTTTTAAAAAAGCTTTTCTGGCTCTCTTATCTCTGGGGCCTCGTTTGAGTGCTGTCTAGGTGACATAATCAACTCTTTGAGAAAAATTGTACAGATTTACATTTTCTTGTGTCTATCAGTGGGCTCTTGAATATGAGACTGTTCTCCCGTTAGAAATCCAGCCTGGGCTTTTCCTTTGGTGGAATATTTTTTTTTTAATGTTGTCATTTTCCTTGCGTGTGTAAATATGACACCATGGGTTTTAGTCCAAAATTCTGCATTGCCTGTAATAAACATACAAAATGCTTTAAGTTGCCCTGGCCGGTTTGGCTCAGCGGTTAGAGCGTCGGCCCGCGGTCCAGAGAGACTTGGGTTCGGTTCCCGCTAAGGGCATGTACTTCGGTTGCAGTTTGTCCCCGGCTCTGGTCAGTTGTGCGGGTGGCAGCCACTCGATGTGTCCCTTTCACATCGATGTTTCTCTCTCTCTCTGTTCCTCTCTCTCCCTCCCACTCTACCTGAACAAAAAATGGAAAAATGTCCTCGGGTGAGGATAAAAAAAAAAAAAAAAAAAATGCTTTAAGTTCTTCAAAGCCATGTCAGTGGAATTTGGGGCCAACTTTTTGGCAGGCCCTAAACTGAACAATAGATCCTCCTGTGGCTGCTTTCTGCTGGTGGCACGTGGAGAAAGCAGAGGTCAGTGAGCCACCCAGCTCAGTGTGGCCAGACCCCAAAGACGCACCTCCAGCCAAACACCACGTTTGCTACCCCAGAGTAAATGATGTTAAAAGATTCTGGTCATTTCATTACTCACTGATACCCTGTTTCATTTCTTGAAGAACCATTTCTTGAGCACCTACTAAGTTCCAACACCAGGTTAAGCCATAGATGCACACAGTGAATAATAAAGAACCCCAGTCTTTGTCTTCATAAGCTAATATGTCAGCAGAGAAGGCAAACTTTAGAGCAGTAATGATGGCGGGTGATGGCTGCCCGGGAAGACTTATCAGCAAGAACGAGCCGTGTGGATGCAGTGATGTCCTGGGAGGGGATGTTCCCTTAAGTCAGCGGTTCTCAACCTGTGGGTTGTGACCCCTTTGGGGGTCAAATGACCCTTTCACAGGGGTCGCCTAAGACCATCGGAAAACATATTTCCGATGGCGATTCATGACAGTAACAAAATTACAGTTATGAAGTAGCAACGAAAATAATTTCATGGTTGGGGGGCACCACGACACGAGGAACTGTATTAAAAAGTTGCGGCATCAGGAAGGTTGAGAACCGCTGCTAAGTGGTGACCCCTGCAAGGCATTTCAGGGAGTGAGGGCGCCTTCCGAGGAAAGTGACTTGACCACATTTGCATTCTGGACAGATCGCTTGGGCTTCCAAATGGCCACCTTCATGATGGGAAAGATGTGTTATAAACTACATGAAGTGGATCACAGAAGAGCATTTTCTACGCCAATAATTATTTCGGTAGGACTGGGCTAGTTTTGCAGTGGGTATGAAATGCCTGTTCTTGGTTTATTTTGGTTACACGTAGATAGCATCTTTGACGATTTAGGTGTGACAGCGAAAGGCGCCACCAGGATGCTTAATTGGGTGATAGAATTGTCCAGTAACATGGACATGAGTCAGAGTCACCCACAACAGCTCTGATGCCTCTGTGCCAAGAATTCCCCAGTCTGGTCCCCAAGCACCTTTTACCATCAATGTTGAATAAGATCCTTTGTTAAGACATAATAAGGCTGTTGGCTGACATTTACCAGACTGGGATTTGGCAGGGTTTCCAAAATCTATATGCAATCTATATATTTTTTTAAATACTGCTTTCTGTTAATTAAAATGTTCTGTGACTCTTTATACTCTCTGTCTCCCAGACCACATGAAACCAACAGTCTCTGTGTTGGATCTCAGTGGATAGTGTGGGTCCTTCAGAATCCCATGCCTCACTTCCCTAGTTCCTCAAATCCTGCCTGGGGTTCCCCCAACTCGTGGTTGGCTCAGTGTGGAGTCTGCTCCCCTCTCTCTAGTGCCATAGAGCAGTGGTGAAGCCCGTGACTTTGCCAACAGGTCAGTGAAGGTGCCACCCTCTATTGGGGCTGCGTCTAGAACTGCATCGGGCGAAGACCCCCGAGTTCCTGGAGCTGCTGTCCCTGCCCACAGGGTCCAGGGGTTTGGTGTGGGGAGACACTTCAGGGCTCGAAGTGGAAGCTGGGATGGGAAAATGCTCCCCATCTATGGAGGTTGGTCGTATCCATCCCACAGTTCTCGAGCAGGTCGCCAGCCTTGTTCAAGGATGATGGAGAGGCTATTGGAACTGTCCCATGAAGACATTCCCCACTGGGGCTCAGGCTCCAGCACACAGGTGGACTTCATGCACAGTTGCCTTTTGTCTCCAAACCAAAACCACTGTCCTTGGGTCATGGACACTCTGAATTTCCTCCCGAGCACGAACTCTGTCCAGATGCTACTGGGTCCCTCATGCAAATAGGTCCCCTCCCCTCTTCGTACCTGCCACACCACCCGAATTTCTGTATGGCTCTTCCCTGTCTTACTTGTCTCACTAGCACTTATTGCTCTCATTGTACATTTTATTTATTTATTTTGTTTATGGAGAATCTCTCCCCATTAGTATGTAAACTTGATGAGGTCAGTGTATAAAAAAAAAATTTGTGGATGTTGTCCCGGTGCTAACAATGCCTGGAGCATAGCAGATACTCGATACATATCAGTTGAATGAATTAAGGAATTCATTCCTTTAATGTCAGTGTTTTGAGTGCCTACTATGTTCTAGAGTCGGAAAGTAAAGACCATTGATCAAAATAAGGTATGCTGGAGACAGTGCAGGGAACTTGACCAGCGGCAGAGCTCAGTTGGCAATTCTGATAGGATTATTCTATGATTAAATTAAGATGGTCCCAGGCTGCATTGTGGAAAAATGCTTTACTTCTACATACGTGGTCATTTCTGATGAAAGAGGCTGTATACTCCCACATATATCAGATGGTTTAAGATACACTTTGTGTTGAGCTGGGTTCCCTGGAACATCTAAGCTACAGTTCAGGACAGTAATGGCCTCTGCGGTCAGCCGACCCATCGCAAGGATGCTCAGAAGTGCAAGGGGAATTCCAGTCCAACTGCGCGCAAGGTGTCGATCACAGGGAGCTGGGTTGTTTGGTGGTGGCTGGCTTGTTAGGACACCATTCAAATCAAGTACGATTGTTAGGGATGGTCACGAGTTTTTGGCATCTCCAGAACAAAGCTTCATTGTGTTAAAATAATGCAACCAATTTGTTCAGTTATTGAGCTCAGTTTCATTTGGCTTTTACTCTCAAGTTATCAGTGTGTCTTGAGCTCCTCCTAGTGGGTGAGACAATAACATGAGATGCATACAAGATCTATCTGTGCTGCAGGAGACGACCGTAAGACAACAGTAGTGAGAACTATCGTTTGTTGAAGTATCACTACATGCCAGGTGTTTTACCAATCTGACCCCCACAACAATATGCAATGTCACCTGGTTACTCCAACTGAGACTTAGAGAATGCCAGTAACTTGCCTAACTTCACACTTCACACTGTTAGAAGTGTGAAGTTGGACCAAGATTTGAGTCAATGCTTTATCCTCTTCACTATTGCCATAATGCTACTCAGTACATTTGTGGACTTTGAGGAGAGGTTAGAGTGTCGGGTTAGTGACCTGGGTTCCAACTCTGCTTCTGCCACAGCTCCTCCTAAAATTCTGTAATCCCTAAGCAATTTGAGCTGACTCACTAGTTCAGAGGCTGTAAATATGTTGCTGCAGTTCCCCATTTTATCACTAGATGGCAGGCTTGCTGGCAGGGGGAACAAAGGGTGTGGTAGAGGTTTGGGATGTAATTTGTAAATCTCTGGAATCCTATTGGTAAAATAGTTCATGCGCTATTTCAGTCAGGCACGGTAAATATTTATTAAATTCATACTCATTAAATTTCTCTCACTTTGTATTTAACAGCTCCATTTCCTCTTTTTATTTGTCCAGTATATGCAGTATTTGCAAAGGGAGCATAAGTCAGATAGAGGGGAATTTGCCTCACTCACGACTACGTCTAGAACAGTATCTAGTCTATGGTGGGGACTCCAATTATTTTATAATTGCTTTTCTTACTTTCACGTTCTACGCACCTACTTTTGAAAACTCCTTTTATTTGGAACAAATTTTGGTCTTACAGAAAAGTTGCAAACATACCAAAAAGTCCCTTTATATCTCTCACCCCATTTTGAGTAATGTTAACATCTTACATATCCATAACATAGATATCAAGGCTAAAACATTAACACTGGTATAGTCTTACTAATTAAACTACAAACTTTAAAGAGAGTGTTACTCATTTTTTCCCCTCACTCCGGTCCTCTTTCTGTTCTGGGATCAGACCCAGGGGTTCACGTTGCATTTTGTTATTATTTCTACTTGGTCTGTAGAAGTTCCTTGGTCTCTGTTATTTTACAGAGTGCCCATTGGTCTCTGTGTGATTGGTCTCTGAGTGCCTGTGTGATGTATTCCGGTTGGAGGGAGACGGTGCACTTTGGGCAAGAAAACCAGAAGGATAACGCTGTGTCCTTCTCAGTTCACCACATCAGTGACATTTACCTCGATCATTTGAATAATTTAGTGATTGCTAGGTTTCTCTACTGGCAGGTTAATAAATATCTTTAAGGAGATTTTTAAAGATTATGCAAATCCTGTATCTCCTCAAACTTTTGTCCACAAACTTTAGCATATATTATACATCTATCATCGGTTGACCGTTTTTGATAAATATTTTTTTTACTGATGTGTGATTATATCCCTCAACTGGATGGCTTTTCA